TCATTTGTTTAGTTTGTCCATTGTAGCTTCATTTGTCAATTATTACCTCAAGCTGAATTCTGTAATGTAGACGATTTGATTATTTAATTTAGCTGTGTGAGATATACGCTTTTGTTAAAAAATAGTGAAAGTGTCAAGAAGTAAGTGTACACTATCTTGTATCTTAACAATTACAAAGTCCATTTTGTTTTTCAAACTATTCTCCTGCATCACGCAAGCTCCAAAAATTAGACCCCTCAGTAGAATAAACTACTCTTCAGCTGAAATGGTTTGTAGTTGGGAGGATCATTCATATGTATGCTATTTGAGTTTTCATTTGGTTTTTGTTTCTTTTCCTCATTGAGTATGGCATTTTCATATGAAATTTTGTAGGATTTGATTGCTGGGTTTGACCAAGAAGCAGCAGCTGTAGTTATGGCACGCCAAGTTTCCTTCAAAATGGAAAGTGAGGTAATCACACACGAAATTTCCACTATTTGGATATTCATAGTTTGGTATGCTCTTGTGTTATTGGATATCCACAACTACCTATCTGTCTGTGTGGCATAAAGAAATATCATTATCTAAGAAGATCATTACTTTCACTACTTTTAGTGCATTTGCCTTGTTGAGAGAGGGGTTGTGTGACGTGATTTTCACTTGATTTGTCATATGTCTCCTGTTTTATATACTCTGCTGAGAAGTCTTTTACCTTTCTTGATACAGTTTGTTCCATCTCAAACTTAACGAGTTTTATTATAAGAAAAACCTAACACTTCCCAAATTTATGCCATTGTTGTGAAGGCTGACTTTGATCCTATAAGGTGGTTGGATAGAGCACTGATACAACTGTGTTCACGCTTTGGAGACTACCAGAAGGATAGCCCTTCTACCTTCAGCCTCTCTCCACGACTCTCTATCTTCCCTCAATTTATTTTTCATTTGCGTCGTTCCCAATTTGTACAGGTCCGATTTAGCTTTTGTCGTTGGTCTACATTTAGCTGGGTTTCATTATTTGCTGGCGAAATATACTTGATTGAAGTGTTAATAATGCTTTCAGGTCTTCAATAATAGTCCTGATGAAACTGCATACTTTAGAATGATCTTGAACCGGGAAAATGTTGTCAACTCGGTTGTAATGATACAACCTTCCCTTATTTCATACTCATTCCACTCTGGCCCGGAACCAGCTCTTCTTGATGTGGCTGCCATAGCAGCTGACAGGATACTTCTTCTGGACTCATATTTCACTGTCGTTATTTTTCATGGTGCCACAATCGCTCAATGGCGAAAAGCTGGTTACCACAACCAGCCTGAGCATCAAGTAAGTTCATTCAGGATGTAATTTCAATTCTCAAGTAGACTAATGCGCTTCTTTTTTTCCTTTGATCAAGCTGGACATTGACTTAGCTCTTCACCTAGTCAAAGTCGGATCTTTTTGACATTTAAGATTCCACCAACCCTTTTATAGGGTTTTTTTTGGTTAATTTCATGATATTGTAGACCTCATATGAACTTGCTGATCCAACAATTTGGTGATGTTCTTGTGTGTTCTGAAAGATATCTTCAATGCTTGGGCCTCACGTGACCATGAAGTGTGGAAAAGTTCATGGTTTTGAATGGTCCACTTTAAAATGAATTACAGTGGTAGAAGGAAGATGTAAAAGAAAAGTTAAGACTAAGAAAAATTATCTTCAAGCCTTGTATTTGGGTTGAAATGTGAAAAACTGAGATTTAATTAATGAAGCAATTAAATGTGCTATTGCAAAACTAGCATTTTCTATCATAAGGATTTAAGTAATTATGTCTCCCAGAGTTTTTAACAACGTTGTGATTCTCCATGCCTCTTAGTCTTGGCTGGCGAGTTCATGTCGTGGTCCAGCTTCTTCATGTGTTGAACTTAAATACAGTGTTTTCTGAGTACATTCTTCTGTTTTCTTCTTTCAAGGATGTTCTGGTTTGGCCAGTCAAGTCTACATGAAATATTTTAATTTGATGTAATTGCAAGAAGTGTGTAACTCAATTGCGTGTTAAAATGGAAGAATCTGACTAATTTGTCGCTATCTGATCACTGGAATTGCCCGTTACCATTGTAGGCATTTGCTCAATTGCTACAAGCACCTCGTGATGATGCAGACACAATAATCAAGGAAAGGTTTCCAGTACCTCGTCTGGTTGTCTGCGATCAGCATGGCTCTCAGGTCTTTAGAATTCTATACTGCTTTTAAATAAAGGGTCTGCCATTATTTGATTTAGCTAAACCTTTTTACACCTGATTCTGCCTTGTTTCCCCATAGAAGATCATGCTTGGAGGGTATTTTTTAGCCCTAGATGTTCCATTACGGTTGTGTACACTATCACGCCATTGTTCACTGTTCACCAGGGAAGTGGCTCGGAGTGGTAGGAAAATAAGCATGGCTGCCTGATCAATGGGGGGATGGAAGGCGGCATCTGTGGTGTTTAAGGACGGTGGATCAGTGGTTGATTTGTCAGGGGGTAGGGAGCGGTTGGTCTAGGTCGATGATGATGCCTGCTGGTGCTAGCAGTCTGCAGATAGTGGTAAATTGACCATTGCTGATCTGCAGAAAGTGTGGGTCCTCAAATGTTTGCAATTAGCGAGGGTGGCTAAGTGACTGCCGTGCATGGTTTGGTTTCCTGAATTGATTTTTAAGATTGACGAACGGGAAATCGTCTTTCTACATTGAATCATATTTTCTATTCTAGGAAGGAATTGGTGATATATCCCTTACTGCTCTAAACGTAGGAAAATACACTACGTTAATGAACCTGACCAAGCGGGTTTATGGAGCCCTTTAATATGATGTTGTTCGCAATGCATGTAGTGCTTTCTCCACCTTCGTGGCCATTTTTCTCTTCACCTATCTGTTTGAGCTCATATAGGTCATTATCTGGCCAGGGCTGTTGATTGTTCTGCGTGGAATATATCATGCAAACTTTGTCTTTCATATTATTTCCATGCAGGCTCGTTTTCTTCTGGCCAAATTGAATCCTTCCGCAACTTACAATTCTGACGCTCCTGTGCCGGGAGGAGATGTTATATTTACGGACGACGTTAGCTTTGAAGTCTTCTTGGATCATCTACAGAGACTAGCGGTTCAATGATGTGCATAAAATATGCAAGTTTTGTCGGGTTGGAATTTTTTTTTTATTGCAAATCTTGTGCAGCTAGGCCTCGAACAGGCTGGGTCCCCTAGGAAACGACATGCCTGTCCTTGTTAAAGGTGTCTGAATCACTTCCTTAAAACTTGGACGCATGAAGAATCAATTGAATGAAATTCCCAGGTATAGTATAGCATCATCGATGCTCATGTTGACCCTTGATTCTTCGGCCCTAGCGCTTGTTTTGCAAACACAAGTACATGAATCTCGTGTGTGCACATTCAACTTTAGGGCGATTGAAGTGTTCGAGCATTCGAAATTACAGTCAGTCCCTTTTCCATGGAACATTTGGATAATGCGATGGCCAATGTTCGTGTAACACGACCTTTGGAGGGAAGCAAGTGGACAGGGGAAATTGAAAACAGACCACCAGGTCAGCTGGTCATCTTCATTGTACCTTCTGGATAATGAATATCTCAGGTTTTCCACTACTGCTTTACTTGACTTAATTTCCTCAAAAAACACATACTTTGACTTGGTTCTTAATTCTGGTTCAAACATTCTTTTGTCTCATGCTCTCAATTCTAACACAAGCCTTTTTTGTCTTGTAAAAAATCAATAATGTTCAGTTGGTACTCATATTTGGCTCTTGTCAAGTTTCTATCCAGTATTGTCATTAAAAATTCAACGTGTCATTCCACATGTATTCGGTGACCATGTCTATGGTCGTTGAGGCTGCAGTCGAAATTTGAATAGTTTCGAAACAAGTAGGACTTAAGAGGCGGAAAACTTGAGGATTTCAATTTTGGAATTTGGTGACAAAAATTGAAATGGATCGAAAAAATGATTTATCCAGGACAATCAAGGCATGAACAAGCGATTCGTTGTATCCGAGCAATGTACGAAAACTGAGAAAAAAGAATTCTTCAATTTGTTTGGTAGCACCCGAAGACAGAAGTCTTCAAATTGTGTGTGATCCTTCCATGTCGGTATCCTTGAGTTGTCGAGTACATGTGGAATAACATGTCAAATCTATAACGGCATCATTGGATGAAAAATTGATGGGGTCAAATTTGGATATTAGTTGGAAGTTGTTGATTTTTATGAGACAAAAAAGAAATTTAGGATGAAATTGAGATTTGAGCTAAAGTTTGTATTTTTTAAGGGAATTAAGCGTAGTTTTCTCCATTAGATTCATTCTGCTTCTAAGTAGGGGAAGAGGGTGAATAAATTTTATGTTCGGATGGGATGAACCGGAGAGAAACGAAATGACGACTCTTTTCGTTAGGGGAAAGAAATGAAAAGGAAAAACAAAAGAAGGGATCTGTTTGTAAAGTGTACTTGTTTTAGTGATAAAAAGGGAGAACAATGGAAAGAAATTGCTATGGAGAGATTTAAATTGAATCCGAAAAGGTAAGTGACCGTTAGACCAATGGGTCAAATAACTTGCCTTCAATTTTAACCCTTTCTGCCCAGCATAATGAAAGTATCTCGGTCAAAAGGTTTTCAACTCACAATAAAAGACCGAGGATGATCCAACAAAGTGTTATTGTAATTAATACGGGTAGTTGGTAAATGGTAAGATATAGTCTTTACCTTTAGATTAAAAGGATATCTACGATTGTAATAAGATGAATACTTATATATATGGGTCTATTCTCCTCAGTTGTATCATTTTACAAGTAATAGAGATCCAAAGTTTCCTCTACAAGTTTCTCTCTAATATCTTTGTGAATATGGTGAGTAAGGCTACCGAGGAAGAAATTCTTAAAGTTGCACGGGTAAGGGACTGCTAGGAAAACAGGCCCGCGATAAAATGATAGCTAAAGTAGTTCATTTGTTTGACTATACGTGCACAAGTTGAATTTTGTTCATTAATAGTTGGCGCCGGCTAACGGAAATGGGCAAATAGATGCATCTCGACATACAAAATATGTCATTAAAGTCAATCATGAACCCTAGATGCAGGGTGGTCGAAAACACAAGATGCTCCGAGGCGATGCCTCACCAACTACATTGGCATCACCATCGAATTGAATCCGGTTAGGTTTGCCATTGCGAAAACAGGCAGAAAGGCAAGAGCAACAGACACATAAGTACATAAAACGATTTGAGGGATTTCACAAGCTGTCGTTCTTTTTCTAAGAAGAAAGTTGTAGAGCGATTTCAATGTGGAATTCACTGGCCAATACACGCGAACTCTAGAAACAATACAAAACAAAGAAAAAAAGTAAAAATAAAATAAAATAAAATATATAAAATATAAAATAATAAAAAGAAGAACAAATCGTCACACCAAATTTGTGCAGATAATGGAGGTTAAAATGATAAATAGGGTCGCATGGAATGATATCGTCGGAGCAAGCTTTTCGCCGGAGCCAATCCCAGTGCCTGCAGCTGAACACAACACATGGCTTTTTCTATCATCATCGAGACTAGTGGAAAACAAAATTAAAAAATGCAAGCCAAATGCAGGTTGAAGCAATCAACTTAGAAGCCGATTTCAAATTTTGAATAGCTTAATCATGGTAGTGTTGCAACTTCAAATGCTGTATCATAATTCATGATGGTTAGAATAATGTTATGTCATCCTATGTCCCTCCTCGATTGGTGGGTAACGGATGGCCCGAGATGGGTTTGGATCGAATCAATCCATTTAATTCATATTGATTGGTTTTAGGCCCATACAATTTAAATGAGTCATAAAAATATGGGATCAGCTGAGACAGACGATCGAGACATTCACTATAAGGCTAATATCACAAAAAATCCTAAACTGGTATATTTGTGCCATATTTATCCCAAACTTTATATCACAAAAACCTCCCAAACTGGTACGCATGTACTACATTTGTCACTTTTACCCCAAACTAATTTTTATTTCGTAAAAAATCCTAGACCGGTATATCTGTGCCACATTTATCCAAAATTAGTATGCTTATGTCACATTTATAAATATATAATTTTTTGGGAAAATGTGACATGGATGCTTTAGTTTGGGAAAAATGTGACACAAGTATACCCGTTTGGGATTTTTTGTGACACAAAAATTAATTTTGGGTAAATGTGACAAGGACGTACCACTTCGGGAGATTTTTGTGACACACAAATTAGCTTGGGCAAATGTTGCACGGCGTACCAGTTTAAAGTTTTTGTGGTATTAACTCTTAATTAAATTGACTAATTATTTATTATCTTTTACAATCTATAAGTGAAAATTGGCATCTGTCTATTGATATCAAGCTCATGTTGCTTTAAATCTCTATTCAGTTAATAAGTAAAAAATCTTTACAGTTTTTAATAAGCTGATTATTCTCATGTTAAACATGATCACTACTTTAAAATCGAATAATTCAAATTTAGTATCCCTAAGAGTAGGACATGACCCTTCAAAAAATCTTTTATGTTCTCTCGTTCGCCTATGCAAACTTCTATTTAAACCCACAATGAACACGAGAATAAATTAAATTTATTGAAGGGCGATTTTTTTTTATCAAAATGAAAAGTACGATTATAGTTATATATAAAATAAAAGAGATTTATGAAAAAGCCAATATCTTTCTTTATGCCACTTACCACACTCCACAGTAGCGTTGTGGGTGGGGGAGCAGAGGCAGAGCATCGCCTCCGACTCGGTGTCGAACCCGCACGCGCCGCCCGACCGCTTGCACCGGTCGCACGCGGTGCTCTCCGGCACGGCGTACGTCAGCTCGATCCCGTACGTCCAGTCCAGCGGCCCGGCCTTCTCCAGGCCCCCCGAGCCGATCACCGTGGTGTAGTGCGTGCAGTCCAGCATGTTCATGCTCATGAACCTCACCGTCGCGTACCTCGTGAAGCAGCACGGCGGCGACGTCGACGGCGACGGCGGCGACAGCGAGAGCGACGACTGGTTGGACCCCTGCGGGGCCACAGGCCGGAAGATCCGGAACGAGGCGCACGCGCCGTACATCTCGTCGCAGGAGTGGCCGCCGACGTCGGGGGAGCAGAGGTACTTGAAGTGGTTGGCGACGGGGGAGTCGATGGAGCAGTTGAGGACGGCGAAGATGGTGTCGTCGGAGGGGGGGATGAGGGCGGCCTGCACGTCCGTCAGGACGAAGTCGTGGTGGGGCTGGAGGATGGAGCAGGTGGACATGGCGGGGTCGAAGATGACCACCTTGCGCTTGGCGTAGTCGATGGACTGGACCTTGTAGCCGCCGGAGGGGGTGACGAAGAAGAGGTCGGAGGCGTTGCAGGAGAGCATGCGGCGGAAGCTCGGGGAGCCGCAGCCGTCGTCGACGGCGAAGGGGTAGGAGACGGGGATGGCTCCGCAGGAGGTGCGGCAGAGGGAGAGGGGGAGGGAAGGGAGGGGGAGGAGGGAGAGGGTTAGGATTAGGAGGTTGAAGACGGTGGTGGTGGGAACACTGGTAAGCACTGAAGACTGCATTTGGAGAGAGAAAGAGGGAGAGAGACTGTGTGTGTTTCTTGTCTGTCTGCAACGGGTGAACGAATGAGGGAGGGAAACCAGGAAAAGACGATGGCAGTAGAGTCACTTTTATCCACGAATGATGGTGCCACTTTGTTGACCATTGGGCACCGCGGCCACAGTGGACTCCTTTTCATGTCATGGGGAGAAAACCAAGAAATCGCTCTGTTCTAAACTTTGCTTCCAGTTGTCTTCCATTAAAACCTTGAAAAACGTACATTACGCTCCCACATTCCCCACCCCCCCCTTTCTCTCTCTCTCTCTATTCACTGCCCTTCAGTCAGTCCCCCAGCCCCCTCCGCAGCAGCTGCTGCCCAATCGGCACCGCCGATGCCGCCACGGCCTTCGCGCTGCCATGTCAGCTGCGGCCGTCGCACCGCTGTCCCCATCGCCGCCGGGCCACGGCCTCATTGTCTTCTTGTCCGTATCAGACTCCAGAGTGGCCCAGGCCTCATCCTTGCTTAACAGCTCACTATAGTTTCGTTTTCATGTCAAAATTGCCACCGCCTTGTCTCCTCCGTGTTGGGGTGTAATCGCGTCGAGTTGAGCTGATACATTGCCAAGTTATGATGGGCAGGGTCTGGCTCTTGGGGCCGAGCACACCATATTCAAACACGGAATAAAAGTCGAAAGAGGAAAGAAAAAGAGGATTGAACGTTCTTGATAATGAAGAGAGAAAAAGGATGGGAAAATTTCAAATGAGAGCATAAAGTGTCTTTATTTTTTCAAATAAGAGCCTGAAGTAGATCTTGTCTCAAATAAAGGCATAAAGTACCCTCATTTTCTCAAATAAGGACATGAAGTAAATCTCGTCTCAAATAAGAGCATGAAGTTGCCATATTAGTCTTAAATAAGAACCTGACCTCACTGGCCAAAGGGTATTTTCGTCTTTTACTTTTTTGAATTTTTTTCTTTTTTCCTTTTTTTTTCCTCTCTTCCCTCCGCCGGCCATCACCGGAGTCGGTGGAGGCCGCTAGTCTCAAGTGGAGGCTGCCCTTGCCTGGGCAAGGGAGAGTCGCCCTCACTGGCGTCGGGCGAGGGCCCTTGCCCTCGTTGGATTTGGCAAGGGTCGCCCTCGCGCGCCCAGCCCAGGCGAGGGTTGCTCTCACCCGACGTCGACAAGGGTGACCCCCGCTCGATGCGACTAGGCGGCCCTCGCTCGACGCTGGCGAGGGCGGCCTTTGCTTGAGGCCGGTGACCTCCGCCGGCTAACTGCTAGGGAGGGAAGAAGATAAAAGGAAAAAGAAAAAAGAAAAAGGAAAAGAAAAGGAAAATAAAAGGAAAGTAAAAAAATTAAAAAAATATACTCATACTTTTTTTTGACTAAAATATCCCTTTTTTGACAATGGAATAGTCATCGGCCGACAAAGGTCCTTATTTAAGACGATTTGGCCACTTTATGCCCTTATTTGAGATAAGGTCTACTTCAAACCCTTATTTGAGAAAATGACTTCACTTTGGACCCATTTTTGGAATTTTCCCAAAAAGGAGTGTATGCATAAAAAGAAAAAGAAAAAGAAAAGAGGGAGAGAGATGACGGTTTAGACGAGAAGAGGCAATTCAAATTTGACGGTGAAATCAGCTAAAAATTTAATATGTTGTTCATGAGATCAAGATCTACAAGGTGAACAATTCTAATAGATGAAATCCTTATTTGATTTTTCTCTCAATTTCTCAGACAATGGTTAGAGTTTTCTTGCTCCTTTGTTAATTCACCTTTGTGGTGATAAAATATTGTTATATTGTTAATGTTGAGCTTCTAGCTGTGTGACTAGAGATGAATTATTGCGTATCCTACTTTTCTTGATGATTAGTTGAAGTTTTGAACTTCGTAGTTTTTCCTGCATTAGGTTTTTCACATAAAGTTTGTGGGTGTTGTTTTTTTGCTCCGTCTTTAGTTTTCAGCACTATTTATTGTTTTGGTGGTTGATATTGCTAGAACAATGTGGGTGGTTGTTGCTGAGGCTATTTTAAATTTTAGTTGGTTGAGTTTTGTGAAAGATATTGATCTTGAATAGATTTAAGTTTTTAGTGAATTGTTTCCTTTCTCCCCAACAAAGTGGTATTAGAGCCAGGTTGACGAAGGAAACTGGCACCACCATGTTTAAGTTAAGTGCCTCAAATTAGTCTATGTGGAGGCCTTGGATGGAAAACATATTATACTTTAAAGATTTTTATGATTCCATCAAGAAAGATGAGTCTAAAGGAGACAAGGAAGATAAAGAATGGGAGAGGATTAATCAGAAAACGGTTGGTTTTATTGGACAATGGATTAATGCTAATGTTTTTCATCATGTTGCCAAGAAACAAATGTTGAAATATCGTGAAAGAAATTATGAGTCTTCTATGAGTGGAAAATCCCACAGATAAAGCAATTTAGTTAAGAGACTTGTAAATCTGAGATACAAGGAAGGGAGCAACATGTCATAATACTTGAGTGAATTTCAAGATGTTGTAAATCAATTAACAAATCTGGAAATTAATCTCGGTGATGAGTTGCAGGCATGTTATTGCTTAGTACTCTCCTTGATAGTTGGGATACAATGGTCATGGCATCAAATAACTCTGCTCCAAAAAACCTTAAACTATGCTCACCATAACATAAATACTTTAAACTTTTTTTTTTGTGATCGAGGATTCGGCACCATTCCCCGGGGACGAGCCCGCACAGGTAATCGGGGTGCCTATACCTCGGGGGAGACTAGCCCAGCATCCTATCGCTAGGGTCCCCCACTTAAATTACAGAATCGAGCGGGGATTCGAACCCAGAATCTCTAAGGAGGGAAGGAAAGCGCCCACCAACTCGGCCATGCGCAGGTGGGTTACTTTAAATGTCACGAAAAAACTCAAACTTATACATGTGTGACATATAGACTATCTATTTCAGTTTCGTTCAGGGTATATCTGTCATGCTGGTATAAGTTATGGCACAAAAAAGTTTGGGATATTTATATCACAATAGGCAAGTTTAGGGTTTTTGGTGACACAAATACCACAAAAAAAAGTTCTAAATATTTGTGTCACAATGAGAATAGTTTACGGTTTTTTGTGGTATTAACCCATGAAGAAACAAGGAGAAAAGACATGAATAAATGCTTCTTACTCGAAGGACCTTGTTATGGAAAATGGGAGAAATCAATCAAGAAAATTCCGAAAGTATGATAAAAGAAGCAAGTTAAGAGGAAGGTCGAAATTAAGGCCAAGGAGGAATGTGAAATACTACAATTGTGGCAAGACGGGACATTATGTCAAAAAATGCAGGTTTGCAAAAAGTGATAAATTCCAAGATAGAATTGGAGATAGACAGATAGAAGAGAAGTAAGATACAACGGCACTTGCATCATATGGCGATGTTGTATTTATCAGTGATGATACTCATGTGAACCTTACATGCAAAGACTCTAGTTGGATTGTTGATTTCATAGCCTCATTTCATGTCACTTCACTGCATAACTCCTTCACATCCTATCACAGTGGTGATTTTGAATGTGTCCAGATAGGCAACGGTGGTGTTTGTAAGATTCTCGGCATGGAAGATGTTCATTTAGAAACCGATGTTGAGGTAATTTGCTTATGAAAAAAGAGAGACATATTCCAAACATTATTTTTCGTTTGATCTACACAGGCATCTTAGATGACGATGGTTATTGCAATTCCTTTCGTGATGGAAAACTAATAGTTTAGTGGTGGTGGCTTAGAGCAAAATGACCAGCACTCTCTACACCACATAAGCTAAGTTTATTAGGGAAGAGGTAAATGTAATGGATGACTCCTTAGTTAACCTGTGATATGTGAGACTTGGTCATATCAACAAGAAGGGGCTTGAAATTCTTGCTAGACTGAATCTTCTACCATTGAAAGAGAGAAAACAGAATAAATGTTCTCATTATCCAACAGGTAAGTAACATAGATTTCCATTTCATAGTTCCTCTCCATACACGAAATAAGATATACTTGATTTAATTCACATTGATGTTTGTTTCATAGAAGCTAGAACACTTGGCGGTCCATTATATTCTGTGACATCTATTAATGACTGCTCTAGAAAAGTGTGGTTTGTTTCTTAATCTAATGATTAGGTGCTTGAAGCTTTCAAATATTTTTATGTCAATGTTGAACGAGAAACCAGAAAGAAGTTGAAATGTGTTTGAGTTGACAACAACGGTGAATATAGAGGTCCGTTCGAACGTTATCGCAAAGATCAGGATATCAAACTTGAGAAGCCTATTCCAAAAACACCACAACGGAATGGAGTAGTCGATAGGATAAACTGGATAATTAATGATTGGATTTGACATATGCTCTCTTGTGCGAGGTTGCCTAAATCATTCTAGGGTGAAGCGATGAGAATAGTAGTCGACTTGATAAACCTTCCTCCTGCAGTTTCTCTTAAAGGGTATTCGTGCATGTTCCAAGAGATAAAATGTCCAAACTTGATGATAAGTCTAAGTAATGTATCTTCTTAGGTTATTGACATGAAGAGTTTGACTACAGGTTATGGACTCCAGCTGCAAAGAAAATTATTAGAAGTCAAGATGTGGTTTCTTTTGGTATCAAACCATTGAAGATATCGACATGCCAGGGAGGTAAAAAATTGTAGCTCAGAACTCTATAAGTTGCAGCCTAAATCCTCTTGCCATTTTGGGTGAAAATCACGGGCGAGAAGTGCAAGGAATCATGGCAATAATAAAGTCGTTGAGTCTACACAAAATGTTAGATTCTTCGAGTGAGACAAATGAAATAGTTAAGCCAGAACAGCCCGTTGAGCAAACCATGAAAATGAATAATTATAGAGATGTTTTGCTGATCTATCCCAAGCCTTCAATAAATGAAAATGATTAATTATAGGTCTGTGGGAAGATACATTGGTAGTGTGAGTCTACTTGGTTAGACTAATGAAAAGAATAAGGTTATCTAGGCAATTTTATACTAACCTTAGCAAGTTTAGATGGCCGATTTAGAATATCTTTCCTCTATGCATCCGCTTTCTATATTTAAGTTGTCACAGATAGAGTTTGTATTGAATGCTAAAGTTTTTATTATGTGGGCCTTTTATGGTTAATATTATTATAGATGACAATTTCTGACATGACACAGTAACACAACTCCAACACAACAAAAAAAGTTTGTAAGCTTAATTTGATTTGGGGTTGACCGGTTTACCAGTGAGCTTTTAACATCCGTATTGCCACTTGAAGTTGACACTCAATTTTGACCATCCGGAACCGGTCTCCAGTTTTTCACATTGTGAACAAGTTTGCGATTTCGTGGTTTATTTTGCAAATACCGAAACGAGGAATCGCAAGCATCCCAACGCAATAAAAATCGGGTCCAACTAATGTCAAATAACGGAGTAATCGCGGGTCAAATTTTGTTAAACCTTCTGATACCCAATGAAAGGTCCCAAAGCCCAAAGAAAATTTCTGGACCTGGAAGTTATAGTACATTGATGATTTTTTAAAATAACGAGCCACTGAAATAACACGCGATTCATAGACCTGATCTTAGGCCCCGATATGGGTCGAAATATCAAGTCCGTGATTATGCGATTTCACCTAGCATTGTTGGGCTTGTTGGGAAGCTCTCGACACAAGCACTTCAACAATGTAAAAGTCGCGTGAATTAGACGTCGGATGAAGAGATACGAACTTCAAAAAATCAAGCTTCGAGATGGGGGGCGTGCGACTCAATATGAGGCGGCCCAAAATGCCTATATAAACCCGACATTTTTGCTCATTTTAGTTAGAAGGGGAAAGGGGAACGAAAACATTGAAGCCCTTGTCTTTGCAACACTCTCTAAATAATCTCTCATTTTCGAGGTTCTTGCGCTTCAGAGATAAAGTCCCGACCATTTCGATTTCAATTTCGAAATGCATGTTGAAACATCGTAATATTCATTTAGAACCGTAGAAAAAAAAATACGTCATTATGCTGCATGTTTGAATAGTTGTAAATCACATGTTCTTAGGCTGCCGTAATCCCTAGTCCTAAAATACGTCATTCATTGTGCTGTCGAAGTACTTCTAGTAATTATTTTCTAGGCTGTCGTAATGATTGTCTCGAATCTTAGATCTGAGTTAAGCTATTAGGACGCTAACTTTGTAGAAATTGACTGAAATTGCATGAAAAAGGATCTTTAATAAAAATTCAATTTAAATTGTAACTCCACCAACAAATTTAAAAAAAAAATGTATTTGCAAATTTGATTTCGACTTTTAATTCATTTAATCATGGCACATTCAATGTCTCTTTCCATGTCACACACCATGAATAGCATGTTTTCAAAATACACATTTACACACAACTGGATTACCTGACATGCAAAGCAACGCGATCTTTTCGCTTAACTGTATATCGGCCAAAATTCGATTTTCAAACTCTTTTAAGGAAACTGCACGCTAAATGTGAATTGGAAGGTGTTGCAGGATGCTAATTTGTCCCTTACGTAACCCAATCGCTGGACCTCAATCTCTAGTTACTGCAGTTAGACTACTTACCTTGCACATGCCGATTAGTTAGTTTATTTTCCTTTAAACTGCTTAGGTAACAAATCGATCTATGGCAACTCCTCTCTGTTTTTCAGTTCACATATTTGGCGTGGTAGCCAAGTCGAACCTAAGACCCAAGAATCGAGCGTGCTTTATATTGGCAAACCCCGGTTTGCAAGATTCAAGACGCTATAGTGTTAACTAGCGAGCCACGATTAATAATCATGTTTTGTTCGTGTTAAATCGGCCAAACACGAAATTGACCCATATAACCCATTATAATTGATGGGTTAGTGTTGTCACCATTTGTGTGTGACCCGTTTAGACGCGATTAGCTAAAAGATTATTATTTTCATTTTATTCCCTATTACGATCTTAAATTAATAATATTTCATTAATTATGAACCTATTGCTTAATTTGAATTATTGATATTTTTGTTAATGGATTATTGCAATTTACAAATAGATTTAATGACAAATTTAGGGAATTTTGAGTCATGTTCGCGTTTGCAGGTTGGTTTTATGTCGGTGAGTTGATTTTGTACTATGGAGGGTCATGCTACTATGTCGACTCGTGGACCCTTTATTTAGTCGTACTACATGAATTGTGTTGTGTTAACCAGTTAACTTTCAGGTCGTGTTCATCTCAAATAGGTGCATACAATTAATTTAGCATGTCGTGTTCAAGTTCACCTATCTTGTAATACATATTTATGTTGTCATGGCACTAACACGAATACCGGGCATAAATTGTACTCCCAATCATTATCATTCTCTATTGTTTGCATATTAGTATAAATAAGATTCCATTTGTCCACAAGCCCCGGTTACTGATTAAATGCGTTTTTATACTTTCCACTGCTCGAGATTGCTAACTTCTCTCACCATTTTAATTGTTAATAGTTTTTAAAAAATTTTCTAATTTGGTGTGCAATGGAAAATAGTTCTCACTTATTATGAACCAATAGAAAAATTATCCAAAAAGTCATAAATCTATTTACCACTTCGGTTCTAAACTTTTCAGTTTTTCCAATTGAGTTTTAAACCTTTTTACGTTTTATCAATTGAATCAATCCGGCCAATTTTGATTGGAAATCGCTGACATAAATGTCAGTAATTTTATATGGCATGGTCGGGACTCTCGTGAACAATTTTTAATAATATTTTAATTTTTTAAAATTTTATTTGTATTTTTCTTTTGTTTTTCCTTTTTTTTCTTTTCAGGAAGAAAAAAAGAAGGAAAAACAAAAGAAAAATAAAATAAAATTTAAAATATTAAAATATTATTAAAAACAAAGAAAAGAAAAATAAAGAAAAGAAAAAAGAAAATAAAAGGAAAAAATAAAATAAAATTTAAAAAAATTTATATATTATTAGAAATTATTCACGTTAACGTCAATCATACCAAATAGGACAGCTGGCATCCTCGCAGGCGATTTCTGAGCAAAATTAATCAGATGGACTCAATCGACAAAACGTGAAAATGTTTAGGACTTAATTGACACGATTGAAAGGTTTAAGACTGAATTGGTAAAAGTGCAATAGGTTTATAACTTTTTAGACATTTTCTCATGAACCATAACTTGAAAATTTCTATTTATTGGCCATAAGTGTTGGATGAAATTTAGCAAAATCAACGTAAAAAATGGGTAATTACATTTGGGGTGATACGGCCGAGCGACTCACAACCCGTGTAAACAACATAGTTTATGATCCGAACCCGAATGATCTAGGTCAGAACACAACCCAACCCGACAACATGATGAAGACTTTTCTACTTATTCTGTAATGTTTTTCTTGAATCAACAGTACAGAAGAAAACATCCTGCAAACAAATTCATAACGCCCTGCACAGTACAACGAACTCATTGTAACCTTTAAGCATATTATTGGGTCCAGGATCTCAATACAAAACAATACATCACACAACAACAAAATCCATCCATAGATGAACCTCTCCAAATGACTGCAATTCCAAACAAAACTAGTTACAGGAAACTCAAATTTGGTTCAAGTTACCGCCCGTTCCTGCCCATCATCGATAATTTGCAACAGCTCATTACTTGCGCGATGTACTCTAGAAGAAGAGAAGGGCGAAGAAATACAAACGCCTCGTGAGTCGTCATGAATCAGAAATGCTATGATGTAGTATGGGGATCATCAAGATAAATGAGGGCAAAAGAAATATGAGACTGTGGTTTTTTCTTTTGGTCAATGGCAGGATGTCTTTTAGTGTACAACTTGCGGTTGACTATGAACTTAACTAAATCATGGTAAAGAACATGAAATGACTGTTCAAATTACCTTCAATCCCCGCAACGTCCTGGCTATTTCTTCTCATCGGGTCGTTGAACCTCGTTCCGTTTTCCTTGTCCGGATCACCGGCGAAATGCCTCCGTGTGTCGCTCTTGTATCGTGCCTCATCACGCCTCTGCGAGCCCCCCAAGAAAAGAAATTAGAGATGCGGCCCTAACGAGGCAATCTACATTTCAGCGAGTTGAAATTCTATGCATGTCGAAGGAGGTTTGTTTCCGTACATTGTAGTTCTGGTACAAGCATGTGACTTGATTTTGCAGTGACTCGCTCAAAAGCTTCATCAGCTCTTTTAACAGATTCTGCACATCATAACCAATGCGTAATCAGTACATTGAACTTCATTGTTTGATTAGATAGAGCCCAGAGTTTACTACCTCAAAGATAAAGTCGGCCGACACATCATGCTCAATAAGAGTTTGAAGTATCCCGCGGATCATGAAAAGCCTGCGAGTGAATTACAAAAGGAGAACACAGTTTCAAAGGTGACTATCAAATCTGATGCGTCTAATTAGCATAATTCGGATACGAGGTTCGATTTGGTTAATAATTAGTTGCCAACATTATTGTGAAGTTCTTTCAAGGATGAAGCGCGCAGTCAAGAATTTTCGCAACAATCCATTGCTAATGAGAGGGTGCATAACATTAACCAATTCTATCTCTTGTCAAAGCACTAAAATGTCATTACAACTGTATGTGGCAAAATTTGACAGAAGAAAAATAGTGAGAAATTAGTTTTAGATGATTTTCCAATCCTAACTAGTTGAATTTCAGTCCAACAAAATCCATAGAAGAAACTTACTGTCTGGGGCTCTGCTCTTCTGTTATTTTCTTCGCGATCATTGCGATGACATCTTCCCATCCCGTCATTATCGGTTGATCGTCCATCAACGGGTACCTGCAAGTCGCTTTGGTTAACATAAAGGGCGAATAACAGACGCTCCACCAGACACATATCGTAAAGATGGTCTAATACGTCCTAAGAGATTTTGCAAATGTTTTCGCACTTTTTTTTTTACCTCTTTTGATAGGTTGCCTCGAATGACCGGATCGCTTGACGGAGATTGTTCTTGGAGCTGTCCGCGAATCTCTCCGCCAGTCGGGGCGGCAGGTTTATGCCCTCCTGTTTAGCTATGAACTCCAACACTTCAACAACCTAAGACACATGGAGAAAAACAGAAGTCCTAGTAGGATTGCCGTACTGATAACCGCAAAACTCGATGCTTAAAGGCTTCCTTCTCACCTCGTCCTTTGAGGGAGGAGACAACTGGACAACGGTGCAGAGCATTCTTATCGGTTGGAGCTTCGAGGCGTCGGAGCAGCAAAAGAAGATCTTGGTGTGCTTGTACCTTTCCAGGAGCCACCTTAAGTACAGCAGTGCATCTGTCGATAGCCGGTCTGCTTCGTACAATATCATCGCTGTGGAACAATGGTCGATTGAACATGTCAATGGGAAAATGTTCTCGCTTCTTACGAGATATTCGACGGCGAAAAGGGTTCGAAATGCAGGAAAAAAGCAAAGTACTATACCTCGACAGATATCATTATTTTGGGGAGCTTTCTTGGAGAATCTGTTATGGTTTTCCTTAATAAGTTCCACAATGACATGTTTCTCATACCCTTTGAGTTCAGAGACACTTACTTCTACGTGCTGAGGTGATTCCCAAAAAATCACTTCAATAGAGCCTTGGGATTCTCCCTGTAACGCAGCGCAAGAATGTCACTGAGCCTTGTATACAGTTGTTGAATAACAGGAGTATGTACAAATAAGCAGGGTCACAAAAATGACATAATGAAAAAGTATTTTCATCGCCAACTAAAATGTTTGAGCATAAATTGGCGTTTGTAATGAAAATATTTTATATGAACTAATTTTTCTAACGATGCAAATAATGATTGTTAGGAAGAACTTTTCAAATATCGATTCATGAATGTATGGCCATAAAACTATTATGCGAACAATTTAAGAGGGTTTTGATTTTTTACCATGTTGCTATTTGTTCTTAAAAGATTATGAAAGAGTGTTCTCATTTGGTAACACATTATTTACGAAGTATTGCCCTTAGTTGGAAAATTTGTGAAATTTTACTCCAATTTCTCTCTGTTGCATTAAAAAAAATTAGCTTTTTTTCCCCTCACACTTTATGACATTTCTCTTTAGAAATCTTCATATTTTGCAAATTCCTTTTTTTTTCTTTTTGCATTTTGTGAGAATTTCTTATTTGGACGAAATTATAATAATATATCGTGTAGTAAAAATTATTATCCATGTAAATCAGATTACATGTGATTATTTTGATTACTATTTTAATAAGCTTCTCTCTTTTTCATCTTTTAACTTTCTTCTTTCCTCGTAATTCCTTATTGGTCTTCAAAATAATTTCAGTCAAGCTCCTTAACAAAACGAATCTACCTCAACTTGTCTGTAGATTTATTAAAATATAGAGGACGATGGTATCGCACTTTTTCTTGTAATAGCAAGAAAAACATGCGTGTGAATATTAAAAAAATAAAAAATAATTTTAGATATGTAAAGAAAACACACTATGATGTAAGATATAGTATTTTTAACTTAAATATAGAACGATGAATAATTAACGCTATGGGATTACAACTAAATTACTCTTGTACCCATTATAATACGATAAGCAATTGACCTTAATCCTAAAATAGGCATGGCAAATCATATTATATATTCGAGAAAAGTTTGAGTTTGAAAAAAGAAGGGAAAAGTGCCAAAAAAGTCCTAAACCTTTTGCATTAGTGCCAATTTAGTCCTAAACCTTTTTTTGGTGCCAATTCAGTCATAAACCTTTTAAATTGGTGCCAATTCAATTCTAAACCTTTTGTTTTTGTGCCAATTTAGTCCTTCCGGCCAATTTTGACCGGAATTTGCCGACGTGGACGCCTATCGGCCGGCGGCCGGTCACCGGCGCCGACGTGGCGCTGACGTGGACAACTTTAATAATATTTTAATATTTTTTTGAATTTTTATTTTTTTCCACTTTTTTTTGGGTCTCTCCTCCTTCCTCCGGCCGGTCGCTGGTCGCCGATCCGGCGATCGGTTAGAGTCCAGAAGGCCGGCGAGGTCGAGCTCACCGACCTCTGGCCTCTAACCGGTCGCCGGACCGGCGACTAGTTAGAGGAAGGAGGAGAGACCCAAAAAAAAAAGTGAAAAAAAAGAAAACAAATAAAAATTCAAAAAAATATTAAAATATTATTAAAGTTGTTCACGCGCGCCACACGTCAGGCTGCGATTCACGCCATGCTAAGCGTCCACATCGGCAAATTCCGGTTAAAATTGGCTGAAGGACTAAATTGGCACAAAAACAAAAGGTTTAGAATTGAATTGGCACCAATTTAAAAGGTTTAGGACTGAATTGGTACCAAAAAAAGGTTTAGGACTAAATTGGCACAAATGCAAAAGGTTTAGGACTGAATTGGCATCAAAAAAAGGTTTAGGACTAAATTGGTACTAATGCAAAAGGTTTAGGACTTTTTTGGCACTTTTCCCGAAAAAAGAACTTTTAAGTTCGGTTTTTATATATAGTGGAGTAAATGGTTTACACTCTATTTTATTTTGCTGAGCTGAGTTAGTTTTGAAATCAGATTTATGGTTTATTTGACTTTAGTTTCGTCATCTATAAAAGAAAAATTAAATATTTCATTTTTGTAATTACTTTATTTTACGTCAAATTACATTAAATCAGAGCACAATTTTTCTGTACTTTAAAACTTTCATCATGGCGAAGCCCGAGTTGCTTATTGGTTTTATGCACTTATTTACACAAATAAAATGGCAAATGGTGTGGGTTTTATTTGATTATGCTAAGTTTGCAATTTTCTGAAACTGCATAACATTGAAAGGAAAGGATAGCAGAGAAAATAAAGAGAACTACTTCATATGGTGTTAGTATTATGCACATTTGATTTTTCCTTTTGGAAAATATTTAACTTAATTTAATAATTAATAAATATCTTTATCTTTCTCATCTTGTCTTCAAATTCAATGTATGAAAATAGGAAGTTAAGAATATTTTGAGGAAAACTTGGACTGGATACTCAAGACTTCATCGACGGGCGGGCCCAAGATGATATATGCTTGCTGAAGCACGATTAGATTATGCTTTGATCAGCAGACTTGGATGGACCGCCAAGCCTATGATCAGGTCAAGGTAGCGCTCATGTGTAATTGTGCATGTGGTATGACCAACTTTTATTACTATTTTAGTTCAAGTAATGTTTTACTTATAAAATTAGTTATATATATCTATGCGAGTCATTATAGAATTACCTTTTCTTCAGAACAAGTTATTCTACGTCTTGTTATAATAGCAAATATACCGAATTTCTTGAGAAATCATAATATAGAGATATTCGAAAAGACAGTGAGACATAAAAGGTAAATTTTTGCCAAAAATCTTCAAGTTATACATCTATTCTCAATCGCATTTAACTAACAATCCACTTTAAAGGAGCAATTTTAGATGAAACAATCAGAAAAATCTCCTTAGAAATAAGAGAGTTACCTATGACTTCTTGACTAGAATATTTAGTTTTGTATTTATTCTCACTTAAAAGTATGAGTCAGTTAACTTTGGTAGGTGTATTTAGGGAAGAGAAGATTCGAAAATATACCTAAAAAGATAGTAAGCCCCGTTTTCATTAAATACATGGTAAGGTATATTAATAGAGGCCATGTCTATATGTAAAATAAACTGTAAAGTATATAATTATCGATGAAATATCATAGCTTAACCTAATCAAAATAATTATCGAGTAATTAATGAATCTCCAAACTTCAAAATTATAAAAACCAAGATAACTTTTGGGTATTCAAGTGAGTTCCTTTTCTTTTCCGGTTTTGCAACCATTTAAACTCATATTTCTCAAAATGAATCGGACTTTCTTGAGTTATTTTATCTCTTACTCATTTTAAAACCCTTTTTTCTCTTATTTTTCTTCTGATGTAACGACATGTGCTCTTTTTTTAATATCGTAGAATCGATGAGAAAGAACAGCAAGAGATGGCATCGAAAGAGTATCGACATAATTCTAACTCGCTCACCTTCAAGTCAAAAACCTTGAGCACCTCCCTAGCCTGCAAATGAAGAGACATAAAGCAAGCTTTGATAAGTGCATCGACATGTCTCGAAAACTAAATATATCGATTTATTGATTCACTTAATCTCAAAGAGAAAATTCAATTTATCAAACTTGTCACGTTCATCCACTTCCCAACATGGATCGAAAGGCTAATTGAGAACACAAATAAATAAAAAAAGACGATGTACGAAAATTACGAGATTGCAAATATTGATAAATATAATGTCGATTGGTCAAGTTTAGTATTCTGTAATTAAAATTAAATTACGCACCTGTACTTTCTCAGCACCGTAGACTTCTCGAAGCAATGCCCAAATCATGGTTCTCTTCCCCACTCCGGGTGGGCCTTCAAATATGAAATGGCCACAATCTCCATCTCTTTTCTGCCAAAACAAAAAAAAAACAAATCAAATTTTTTTAATATTTATTTTCTCCTCCTACTATTTTCTCGCTTGAAAAATTTAATTACTCATCAAAGAGAAAATCATGTCCAAAAAATGTAAGAAATATTTGAGTTAGAGACGATTTTTCTATTTGATGGTATTTTTCCATTGGTTAGTTAACACATTTGGACTCGGTGCATTATGATGTCTGTCCTTGACTTTGAGAAATATCACTATATTGCACACCATCAATTGATTCAATTAGACTTAGAATAATTTAAAATACGAAGCATTTTTTGTTATAATCACATTATTAGAATATAATTGAATTGTTATATCACGTTCACCGTGCAAATCTCGCCTAACATATTCCCTTATGACTCGCCCTGCTATAAGTTTAATGGATGATAGTTGATTTCCTAAATCCAAATTCACTTATGGCTATCTTCAATTTTTTTATTGAAGCTGCTATCTTTCCAAAAAAATTAATTAACGTAAGATAAATCTGATCGATTAATAAAAATTAATTTACCACCCTGCACAGCACCATGTAGGAGTATATCGAGTTTATTTTTAAATCAATTTTGTATATTAGTTTTGATATATCTCGCGTAATTTTGATTATATAGAAGACATCTTACCGGTCCCTGAAGAGACAGCGCCTTGTCCCTATTGCAGATGAAGTCTTTCAAGGCCTTTGGCCTGTACTTGGTCGCCCACACAAACTCCTTCTCCATCACCATGTTATCAGCGCTTGCCTCTTTGTCCTTATTGCTCCTAGCCCCATTGATGTCTTGCAAGTTAGGACTTCGATCAGCTGCTTCCAACACCTTGTCATCACTCTCCACCATCCCTTGATAGGGTTTTCTCATCGCCAGAGCACGGTCGCCAACTTGAGCTTTTGGCTTGGACTTGACATTCGACAACCTCGGCAATGTCTGTTTGGACTCCGGTTCTGATACTCTCTCCCTCAATGGCTTCTCGTTGTTATTAACCACCGTGACGGCTCCTTGACTGCCACCGAGGCCCTTCAAGTCGAGGCCGCTCACGCTCTTCACGCCCATCTCCTTCAGCAGCGTCGTCGTCTTCTTGGTCCTCCCTGCGACCGGGCGGTGATAAGAGGCGGGCTGCTCCTCCTTCTTCATCCTCTTGTTGTTCTTATTGAAGCGGGAGCGCCACCCCTTCATCTTCACCACGAAGGACGAGAGCGAGGTCGAGGAGGTGCGCATGGTCGTTGCGCTGCTCTCCCGCCCTGGGCTCGAGACCCTGAGCCTCCGCCGCCCTATCGCGAGGGATTGGTCTGTTAGGCCCTTGTAGTAAGGACTGCATTTGGAGTTCCGGGTGTTGATGATGGCCTGCCTCTGGTTGTGCTCATGGAGGTTCTCCTCCGTCAGGTCGGAGTGTGTCGAGAGCTCGCTCCGGCGGCGGCCAAAGGAGGGGAGGTTGCCCATGAGCTTCTTGGTCCATGAGATAGGACGTGGGAATGGTGATGAGGACGAGGATAAGGACGACCGCGGCATTGCATTTGCCAAGAGAGACAAGTGTTTGATGGGAAAAACCTTGGAAGTGTGGTGGGTGGGGGAGCTTAGGAATGCTCTTATAGCCTAGGCAAGGTAAGACAGACGGGGCGATTCCCACTAGGGTTCTTGCTTTGTTTGAGCGACCCCAACTATGTCAAAACATCAATGACCGTACGACGATGACACAGTTGAATGTCGTGGGCTCCCACCCAATTGATAATAATCAAGCTGCAACTTTTGGTCCTACTCGCATCGCTGGGATTAGTTTGATCATTGCCAGCTAAGGAAGAAGCATTCGGCGATTTTCCGACAAGGAACGAGGGAAAATTCGAGACATTATCATGAGATTTTTTTCATTATTATATGCATTTTGCATGTACACAGGATGGTCGCTTGCATGGATGTCATGTGTTTTGTTGATATTATAAGATATGTGTAAATGGGGAACTTCGCACGTACTGTATTTTCTATGAAAATCCCTTTTCACGACTTGAGTAGCTTTATTAGTTTACGCAATAAATACTTGCATGTTTGAGATTTTCTTCAATTGGACAGTGTGAAACTAGCATGAGCCTAAAGAAGGGCACGTTGTGACTAGTACCATCAAATTCTTGAAATTCTTAATTAATACCATCATCTACATCTATATGTGAATAATGAAAGTTATTGCAAATGGAGTAGTCTTAGGGTTTTGGTGCTATTTTGGTTAATTGGCAACTATTCTCTTCTCTCCCACCAGAACACTACCTATTTATTACTCATCTCCCTCTGTAATCTATCTTCATTATTTCTCAATTTATGTTGCAACACCTCTATGTTTCACAAGTATCTCCATCTTTACTGTAAAATATCATAAATAATGTCTTTTTTTTTGTTAATTTATTTGTTTGATTGCTCCAAATTCTTAATATTAAGTTTATATTGTAATTCTTATGGTCCACTAATATGCTGTCTTTATACTTAAATGCGTAGCACATCATTAAAATTTTCAAATAGCCCACGCAAAGTGCTAGCTGAAGTCTATTTAGGGCCCATTTGGTTCAACTTTGAGGGAATGTATTTGAGATAATGCAAATACCTTTGGGCTAAAGGGGTTTTTCGAAATACAAATAGTATTTGATAAGTGTTTTTTAAAATCAACTTGGGCTAAAGGACTTTTGCTAATATTTTTTTTTAAAAAAAAAAGCTCCGATGGACCTTAACCATTGGCCACTGCCGCCGGCCAGATCTGGTCGCCGGCCAATTGCCGACGGCCAGATCTAGTCGCCGGCCACCACTACTTGGGGTCACGCGACCCCGGTGACCGCCGCCTAGGGTCGCGTGACCCCGTCGACCGCCGCCTGGGGTCGCCGGACCTTGGGCGTCACCGGGGTCGCGTGACCTAGGCAATCGTTGACTGGGTCGCGCGACCCCGACGACGCCCGAGGTCCGGCCACCCCAAGCGGCGGTCGACAGGGTCGCGTGACCTTCAGGCGACCATTGCGCCGGGGTCGCGCGACTCCGAGGCGGTGGTCGCCGGGGTCGGGCTAGCCCTCAAACGGCGGTCGCCGGACCTGCCTCTGGGGAAGATGAACTGTAACGTCCTGAATTCGACCCACTTTCGTGATCAATAAAATGGATATGTATTTCTCATTTCGTTTTAGTGAGTCTCGCCTAGAACTGATCATTCTCGGGATACTGACCGATAGGGAATGGCTAACTAGGAAAACGGTACGTGGACCCAAGAACTCGACCGTGAATCGGGTCCGATTCCGAGGAACGACGAGGGAATATTTTGGGCCAATATGGGCCGATCCAAGGAGAGTGACGGATTTAGTTTGGCCAATGCTGTACGATCGTATCTCAGGTGATTTCGCACGATCAAGAGTACACGTGGCGAACAATCCCGAACTTATTCCGAATGATCGTGACCTCTGGAACTAGCGATAAATCCTCCCGTTGTCTTGGAAGTCGAAACCGTCGCGACTCGAGTAACCCTAGGTCGATACGCGTAACCGCTAAATAGCCGCCCGTTAGTGAGAGACGCTAAAACCGCATTTAAGCGAAATCGATCGTGGAATTGAGTCCGGACTTCGGTGTCGAATTTCATGGGCGTACGCGACTATTTTGCAAGGACAACGTTGTATAAGTGTGGCTAATTATATTTGGGATCGGTAGAGTCGAAAATTGAAAATTTGACCCGGGACCGGAAAATTACCGTTTTACCCCTATGCCCTATGCTTGTATTCTTAATTTTAGAGATTAATTGGGGGGTATTATGGTCTTGCTCAGCCCTATTATTGTTAGAATTATTGGACCAATTTACCCCTAGATAATTTGGTTAGATTTAATCCTAGCCCTAGAAGTAAGGGTAAGATGGTCAATTATGAGAAGTTGTTCACCAACCCCACTAAGTCCAATTATGCATAAACCTTGCAATATCTCTCTCTCTCCCTCATTTCTTCCTCCCCACGCTGGCCACACCTCTCTCCTCGCCAACTCCCTCTCCCTTCTCCTTCTTGCTCGGCCGTGAGCAGTCCACGCCGGAGCCACCGTCCAACCGCGCCGCCGCCGCCCGTCCGTGTGTCCGTCCGCCTTGCACCGCACCACCATCCCGTCCCATTCTCTCTTTCTCCATTTTTCTTGCCCTTCGGCCGCGTGAGAGCCACTCGCCGGAACGCCAAGTCGGTCGTCGTCGCGCGCAAGCGCCGCCGACCACCGTCCGCGCAAGCCGCCGCCGTTCCATGCCGCCGCGCCACCACCACTCATTCCCTCTCCCTTGTCCCGTACACCACCGACCAGCACCACCCTTTCCCCTCGCCGCCTTGAACCATCGTCCGTCGCCGCCGCCCAAGCGCCGCCGCGGAAACCGCCACTTGCGCCGCCGTGGACCCGCTCTGTCACGCCCCGAACCCCAATGGGCTCGCGACACCCCTCGATGGTCGATCATTGAACGCGATGTCCCAGGACGCGTCGCCGACCTAAACGAAACACCCAACGATAAAAGCAAGCGGAAGCGAAATAGAAACAACCCAGACAATAGACAATGACAACGGGATAGCATAGGCACAAATCAACAAACGCATATTATAAAACTGACAGTCACTTACAACATTAAAATCTAGGTTACTAGCTTCAAGGCCACATTTAACAAAAGGGGGCGGCGGTTGGATAGCCTACTTCACTATACACAAAGGGAGTATCCAAAAGATGAACGGGGCATTGGATGCCCAAGTACTCTTGGTCTCTGGACCGCACGCGACGACTAGCCGTCATTTCCAAAACCTGAAAATGTTTAACAACGGGAATGAGATAAATCTCAATAAGTAGACCCCTAAACCCCACATAGGCCAATGCGTACCCAGACAAGTTCAGCATGCAATCTAACCAATTACATAAATATAATTCACATAAATGGACTTACCTCGCCATCCAATCACATGCCCACACTGCACATTAGTCAAATCATGATAATGCAATAATATCCCAAAAGTCCATCACAATCACTCGAACGCCATACACACGTACGTTCACCCAATTCATCCATGCACAAAACATATGCGCATCCATCCAACTTTTCCACGACCCGGGTCAACACCCCACAGGTCAGCCCTCCGATCATTCCGGGCTCTGTCCCGGGTCAACACCCCACAGGACCTTTCAGAAACAAACGTTCACATGACCCGGGTCAACACCCCACAGGTCAGCCCTCTGATCAATCCGGGCTCTGTCTCGGGTCAACACCCCACAGGACCTTTCAAAAATAAATTTTCACACGACCCGGGTCAACACCCCACAGGTCAGCCCTCCGATCAATCCGGGCTCTATCCCGGGTCAACACCCCACAGGACCTTTCAAAAACAAACTTTCACACGACCCGGGTCAACACCCCACAGGTCAGCCCTCCGATCAATCCGGGCTCTGTCCCGGGTCAACACCCCACATGGCCTTTGGACAATCACATACGCCACAATCACATACGCCACGTGATTCAATCAATTTCCACGCCATATTCAAGCTTCAATAACATTAAATTAACTCAGCCACGATCAGCCCGCGTGCCACAATTCATCCATTACTCTAGCACATTAAACCCCATCTACCATTGCAAGCCCGAGTCCATATGATATGCATTAAATCAACCCTGAATAATTAACGCGATTCATCACCAAGCAAATATTGTATCACACACGAACAATCTATAATCGCAGCATAAATTCCAGCATCAACGGCCCCCTAACTTAGCACCAAAATCGGCCCTAAATTGCCACGATTCAATCCACGTTCCGACCCTACTCACTCACCCCTAACCATCCCACATCTCACCACCAAATCGCGCTAAACGACCAACGACGGCCCGAACAGCCCCTAATCAGCCAGCAAATCCCATACTAAACAACCCCTAAAACAAGTCTAATAATACACAAAGTCCTAGACAAGGTTTAGGGTGTCGCTTACCTCGACTTGAGCAAGAAAACGAGGCTGGACAGCGGGGAAATCGTCGGGACAGCGCAGCAACCGAATGCGCCAAGGCCATGTGCCCGGTCATGACCGGCCATTGTGCCCGACCCTCGTGCCACAAGTTGTGCCCGTAAGATCCGTTCCCGATCTTGTCCCGTGTCCAAGAAATGTGCCCATGAGTCGTGCGTCGTGCCAATCCCGGGCCGATGTGCGAGGAGAAATATTGGGCCACGAACCGATCCTCGCCCGTATGACCCGGCATGGTGCCCATGCGGCCGGCCAAGCACTAGGCACGTCGCTCGTGCGGCCAGGCACGCCGCTCGGCGAGTCGCCCGTGCAGCCCGGCCCGTCGCCTGGCACATCGCCCGTTCGGCCCGGCCACGCGCCCGGCCATGCACCTGTACGGTCGGCCATTCGCTCGGCCACTGGCCCGGTCAGGCCGGCGAAATTGCCCAGTAGCCCGGTCGTGTGCCCAGTTCACCCGAGAAGGC